CGGGCGCACGCGGGCGGGCTGGCTCCGGCTGGGCTCACCCCAGCGGCGTCTCCCCTCTGGCCCAGCCGCCTCGGGCTGGTCCGGACCGGGCTGCACGCGCGCTGCCGCGCCCCTCGCTGTCCCGGAGGAAATCCGAGCGTTTGGGCCGACTTCACCCGCGGGCGCCAGGGGCCGGGATCTCCGGCTGCTGGTGCCTGAGTGAGGAAGGGGAGGGTAGTGTAGCTGTTGCTCTGCTGCAGCGTTTAACTGCTTCTTCCTGTCAAAGCCACTGCCATCCATAGATACGGTTAACTAGAGGCTCCTGCTCACTCCCTGTACAACCAGACCGTGCTGGGTCCTACCTAAACCTATCGGCCCACACAACCCTTACGGCGGGCCAGAGCCAGAACCCCAGCTCCTGCCTGTACTAAGTGGATCAAAGGTGCCTGCCGCTAATCAGATGCAAGCTCCCAGGGCCTCCAGCTCCCAACGTGATGTACGGATGCTGCATGAGGCTGGAGACACTGGCCGTGGATGCAAAATGCCTGCTTTTACAGTGTGACATGGTTTGTGTTTCGCAGCCTGGAACCAGCTTGGTCAGTTGTTGATTCCCCCTGAGAAATGCAAAGAGGTGCACCAGGGTTTCCCAAAGCGTCTGCGACGGTGGCGTGCCTGGGGTTTCTGAGACACCTTTAATGGGAACGTACACGCGCGCGCTCCTCAGTTGAGATGCAAGTCTGCACAAGGGTCGGCACTGGCCTTGCCTGTGGCAGAGCACTAGACATCTTTTGCTCACCGAGAAGCGACGCGGTAGCCGTGGTTTCAGTTCCACTGTTAATCAGCCTTATTGTTTCTAAGCAGTGACTCCAGAGCTCATGAAATGGCCTGGGTCCATGCCCTGGAGACCAATGCTCTCTATTCACCATGTGCTGCACAGAGAGCAGGGAGAGGAGTTCCCACCACGCTGTCCTGCAAGGTCTGATCTCTGAGCATTGGGGAGCTCCAGGAGAGGGAGGTTCGTCTCCAAAGCCCCTTCAGTCCTTGGCCTCTCTGCTTAGTGCTGCCCAGTGCTGGGTGGCATGATGGTCTTTGCAATGCTGACACCCAGCTACCAGGCATCGAGACAAGTTGCTTCTTGCTTATCCATCCTGCAGGCTCCGTCCACAGTGATTCACTTTATGTCAGCAGGGGAACATGATGTGTCAGAAAAGGCTGGGACTGGGGGTGGGGAGGTCAAACGTACAATGGGGCAATTCACACTATTGCCAGGCCTCCTTCTGAGCTGAATCAACCGGGTGGATGTAGAGGGATGAGGACGAAGATGGGCATCAAGTTCTTTAGCCACTGTCCTTTGCTCCAGGCGGCTCTTGCCACCAGGGCAACAAACCATGTTCTCGTACGTGGCTGGCATGGAGCTGCTGTGAATTCCCCCACGACTCCCTCTCGCAGGCGTTATCCAGAGGCAAATGCTCTGCAAGCCACGTGCGTATGGAAGACAGCTGCAGCTGAGCCTGG